CTAGAACAGTTGGTCTATTAGGGTGTCGAGCAATTTGGAGCCGTTGGATGGGTGTCAAATGAGTGTACAAATCCCTCAGGGCCTGAAAGTATGGCATATGTATCAAATGGAACAGGAAAGTGTTGGTCAAATAATCATATTTGCACAGGTATAAGCATTAATCTGATGCTTACTATATGTTAAGTATACAAATTATCATAAGTTGGTAATACAAGGAAAACAAAGTTAATTCCCCTCTTTAAGATCATATTAGTTCAAAACTAACGTAAATTTTGATAAACACACATACTTATACAACCAGCTACCTATTGTAATTTTCAGGTGAATTTACCTGTTGATACTTAGCTTCCAAAGCATAAATCTGATCAGTGAAATCTAGTCCAGTGTCTTCGGCCATTCTACGTACCTGAATAAGAAATGAGTTTGAATAAAGCATTAGTTCTATGATTCTAGTAACTACTATCAGTACCACAAGTTTCTACCTTTCTATTGCCATAATCATGAAGTAGCCACATTGCACCAAATACTTAGCTTTTTCAGCAGTACATTAATGTCATGGCATATAAGATAGGTGTGGATCAATTTCATTATGAAATGTAATTGTTCCTAACCAAGCATCATTTGTAAGCAAGTCACCTCAATAAGCTGCTTCTCTAAATTAACCAATGGCTTCTCAAAGGCAAGTGTGACTGGTTTCGGTTTCTCATCAAGAGGCTTAAAGTAGGAAAGATACTTTAAGGGTGTCTTAGTGTCTGGATCAATATCACCATGCCACGGGTAATCCTGCTTCTTCCACTTTTTTATTTCAGCACCAATGAGAAACTTCTTCCTCGTCCTCACTTTGGGACTTCCCAAATCCTTAAAATTCAGGCCATACAACCTTTTGGTAAGAAACTCACTCCCAAGAGACAAGTGTGGCACAAATTCAGAACTCAGGTTCTCTGCATTTCTACCTTTTCCACAATTCCCAACTGCTAGAGATAAGGAGGCCATCTACCCTTTGAATGTGCAAACTGCAATGCCTTACAACCCAAATATCTACAATAGCCACACAGAGAAACAAAATTAACAATGAACCTGCAAAAAGGAGAAATTAACATCAATTACTCATTCCACTATGGTGACATGAGTAGGAGTCGGGGGCGGAGCTAGCTTGAAGAAGGGGGTTCAATCGAATCCCCCCTGTGCAAACAGGTCAAAAACTAGTCTTTTTTGGTGATATATAAGCTATTGAGAGGAATGGAGAAAATTGTGAAAAACCAAACTCCCTCAACGTAATGGGAAGTTCTAGTAAAGTGGCAAAGGGAGTTCAAAAATTGCTTTAGGTCATAGGTTAAAATCCTAGATGTGACCATTTTTGAATCCTCTTGTATAAATTCCTGGCTCTACCACTAATAGGAGCTGTACTTAGGGAAGACATTTACTGAGATAACAATAAATAGTACTAATCAGAAAGGGTTTTATCAACAAGAACATCGACCCACAAGTGGGAGCTGGGAGAGTAGAGTGTACGCAAACCTTACTCCTACCTTAAGAACTAGAAAGACTGTTTCAAAAAGAGTTCTATCATTAAGAAATAATCATTTAAGTTCCATCAATTACCCAATTTCCAAACATTTCAAGAACAAGACTTGAAACTTGACTGAGACAAAGATTTCATCTTTATACTAAGACATCACAAATAAACAACAACCCTGAAGAGCCCACATACATAAGCAACAAAAGCCAATACAGAGCTCAATTCTTGATTAATAGTATAAGAATTCTAAGCATATCAAAGGAGAATTTTACAACTGGATAGACAAATTATGCATACAAAAATACATTTAGGCATGTAGGACAACACTATAATCCTAGAAATATCAACAACAACATACTCACTAAAATCCCACAAGTGAGGTCTGGAAAGGGTAGAATGTAGGTGGATCTTACCACTAGCTCGTGAAGGTAGAGAGACTGTTTTCGGAAACACTTAGCATGAAATATGGAGCAGAAAATTCTGGGGTTCTCCTTTCTTTATCAGCTAGTATGCTCTTTGTTGTACAAGAACATGAATGAACGACTGAGATTAAGTATATATGTATCTCCTATATACAAACAAAAGTTTTTTTCCCTGTAGATGATATAATGGATAGTATTGTTGGAGTATTTGGAAAAGCCATGGAGGTCCCCGCCAAAACATGGACAAGTAAGTTTGGCCTTTTGAGGAGACAAATATTAGTTGAGCTGACTGTTACACAATACCTAATGTTTATCCAAAATGTTCCACACACATCTTTTTTGGAAAAAAAAAAACATAGGAGATGAGGATGAGATGAACCCGAGATTTGAAGATTTTGGGTGTGATTTTTTAGCTTGTACCAACAACACTGTCTCATATGTTCCTCATAGGTGCACTATTAATTATATCTAAATTGTAATTAATTAATTTAGAGTGTGTTTGACTATGAAAATTGTAAGTATTTGAAAAATGATATCTAAAATTTAGAGTTGTAGTTTGAAGTGAAAATAAATTTAGTATGTTTTTCAAATTCTAGAAAAATTCAACATTCAATTTTTGGAATTCTATGACAAATGTGTTTTCCAAAGATCAACTCCGAGGGATAAAAAAATCATGATTAAACGTTTTGAATTAATTGAGCTCGAGATGCTTTTTAAAATTGATTAGTTAAAAACAAATTGCATCTTATTAGAAAATATTTTTTTCAAAATAAATTAATTTTAAAATTTTGAAAATTCAAGCGACGTAACACAGAATAAAATAATTTCAATTATTATTATAGAATATATAGCCCACAATTATTAGAGTTGTGATTTGTTTTAGCGATTGATATGTAGATTAATTGGAGTTTGCGTGAGTGAATCGATTTATCATTTATGACTCGATTAAATATAGATACATCGCTAACAAACATTTTGCACGAATAATCGTTTGAAGGATAGCTATTTAAAATTATGAAATATTTAATGTTTAATCATTTCATAATTATTAAATTTAAAAAAAAAAAGAGAGAAGGAGAAGGTGAAGGGATTACCCGATGAAAATCACATTCTTTTTAATAAAATGTAAATTTAAATAATCAATCAATAAAATTATAAAAATTTCGCATAATTAATTTACTTATAACTTATAAGGCTGAAATTGAAAAATTTAATGTATGAAGTTATCTCTATGTCATGTTTGAACTTTAAAGTAAACATAGTCATCTTTTTTTTTTTTTGGCTAGTAACCTGTTTCCAGGAATTTTGTATGTTAAAATATTAACGGAAAGACCTTAGAGTCTTTGTTTGATTTAGATTGTTAATTGGATATTTTTACTGACGATTTTATTTTGATCATATGTTTAAAAAATAGTTATAATTGTAAAATTTAAAACTATACATAAATAATGTCACAGACTTTCTACGGTAAAATTTGAAACTCTGTGACAATATTACGATTAAAAAAAATTTATTTGAATCTCAAAATTAGAAAGATATCACAAAATTAAGACGGAGAAAGTCTATGACATTAATTTTGTGATATCTTTCTAATTTTGAGATTCAAATAAATTTTTCTTTAATCGTAATTTTTTCGTAGTCATTCAAATATTTTGAATTGTAAATTATTGTGACTTATAATACTTTTTATGTAGTTTCTAAATATATAAAATTTTAAAAACTTCATGTCCGAACTTTCGATCAAACTAAATAGATTTGATTTTTGAGATTCAAATTATGTCACATAAATTGAAGTGAAGAAAATAATTTAAATACACGCTAAGAGTTGCTATTAGCGAATTTACTTCACCGCTCCTATAGACTATAGTTTCTCATTATTTTATTTTTTTGTTGTTTGATTAGAAATAAGTTATTCAAAGAGTAATTATTCAATTATTTCAAGATAAGTTATTCACCATATATAGAAAATAATTTATCTTATCACTATAGCAAAAATGAAGGGATGAATAATTGAAGGGCTATCTAATACCTCCAACCGAACTCATCAGACATTTTATGAGAAAATGATCAAAATGGTCCTTTATATATAGGGTTTGAATTATTTTGGTCCTTTATATATATCACTTTATCTAAATGGTCCTTAATGTATGTATAAAGAGTATCAATTTGGTCCTAGACCTAAAATCTAACTGAAAACATAAAAAACTGTTAAACTTAACTGTTGGGTCCCACACTTGGTGGGCCCCTTCTTCCTCCCTCTTTCTTCCACCATTGCTTCTCCTTCACCTTCTTTCTTTTGCCATTTCTTCTACAATTTCTGCTCCCAAAAATCCTCTCTCACACACAAAAGTTTCTTTAAATTTCAAAAGAATATTTGTAAGGTTTTTGTTTTCTATTTCTGTCCGTTAAAATTTTACCATTAAAATTTTAAAAATAGAATGAAAAAAATGGCTTGAAAAATTACTAATTTTGAAAAGGATAAAACGAAAAGAAAGCTATATACTCCCCATAGATCGCTTCAACAAGAGAATAAATGGAGTCTTTTATCTGATGATCTTAGTTTTCTTGTTCTTCTTCTTCTTTATGTATGATAATGGAAGCTTGAAAATTTTATTTCGATGGAAATGAAATGGGTGTAGTGTGTATTATTTTTCTTATGGACTTCAAATGACGAAAGAAGGAAGTTGAGGAGAAAGGTCTGCAGTGGTGATGGTGAACAAAAGCAGATTGAGGAAGAACAGTCTTGATGGTGAACGAAAGTGGATGGAGGAAGAAGGGTCTGTCATCTGTCAATTCCGCGGGACCCTCTGTTAAATCTAACAATTTTTTTTATGTTTTCAATTAGATTTTAGGTCTAGGACTAAATTGATACTCTTTATACATACATTAAGGACCATTTAGATAAACTGATATATATGAAGGACCAAAATAATTCAACCCCTGTACATGAAGGATCATTTTGATCATTTTGATCATTTTCTCGACATTTTATCCTCAAATTATTATAATTTATACCTTATACCTCACATGAAAAAGTTATTTATTTTTACTCCCTCAGGTATATTATATTTGTTAAACTGGTCCTACAAACTTTACGATATGCATTGCCACGACTCAGATACTATATTACTTATTAGATCACGTAGAGCAGCAGTGGCAAAATTCTTTTTGAATTCTCTAACGAGCCGGCGAAAGGGACTACCAAAACTCAGATACTTCTGCCAATTTTTCAATCTCAACCGTAATTTCAAGGTACTCTCATCTTTTTTATTCTATTGAATTCCAATTTCTTTATGCATCACTGTGTTGCTAAGAAGTTCATATTATTTTTTTTGATGAATCCATAAAATTTTTAGCATCAATGTTTAGCAGAAGGAATTGATTATTGAACGATTGATAGGGTTAGTTCTTGTACTCTGACTTGATTGTAGTTACAATGCTGAGCTTTTTACATTATGTAATTTAAGCTGGGATTATATGGTGCTAATTTCTAATTGTAAGACCCGTTTTGTGTTGTTGTTCATGGTGTTGTAATTAATTATCAGGTTGTAATGGAAGAACTAGGTGTTGATACACCTGTGAGTTATGACTGTGAGATCAGACTGGTTAGTTTTTTTTTTTTTTATACTACTAGTGCACGTACAATTGTAATGGAAAGAGGGAAAAGGAAACTAAATGACATGTTCTATAATTCATGAAATTGTAGAGGGTGAATCCTCAAAGGCGAAAGGAAAAGGTTTACGTAGGTTGTGGTGCTGGATTTGGAGGTGATCGACCAATAGCAGCGTTAAAGCTACTTCAGAGGGTGAGGGAGTTGGATTATTTAGTGCTGGAATGCCTAGCAGAGCGCACCCTGGCTGAGCGCTATCAGGCCATGAAATCTGGTGGCGAGGGTTATGATCCCCGTAGTATGTTTTTCTTATTAAGTAGTTACTTTTGTTTCATTACAGAGAAGCATTCCAAGTTCCTTTATCTGGTTTGTCTATTTGTGAGTATGATAGAAATATGATAATTTTGCTTGTTTGGCGATAACTGATTACTAGCAGTTTGGTATAGTCTCAGAGTGGATGCAACTGCTCTTGCCTTTGGCTGTGGAGAATGGAGTTTGCATTATTACAAACATGGGTGCAAGTATGTGATATGCCTAGATTTCCCTCATCTGTCTTTCTTGCTCTTTTTTGTTTTCTGTAGAAATTGCCTTTGTTTTCTCCATCGAATAAATATTTTCTCTTTGGCAATATGGGGAATAGATGATCCATTTGGCGCTCGGGATGAAGTTTTACGACTTGCAAGCGGACTGGGCATCTCTATAACTGTTGGTCTGGCTCATCAAGTTGCTGTTGTCAGATCAGGTGAAGCTTGAATTTGAAAGATGAAATAAGCTGATGTACTAACTGCATGTCTTCCATTTCCTCATTCTTCCTTTGAGCTGCACAACCATGTCATACTTATAGAATTCTTTTGGGGTACATTCAGATTTGGAGGAGCACCTTAAACATGTTGATGTAAGATTTGGCAATATACAATATTTTCAATGGTACATGTCAGCATCATTTATTCCATCAAGTACAAAAATTGTGCTGTGCAGGTCTTGTATCTAATTTTTCTGATGCTTCTGGGTGGGTTCATTTGTTAAATCTTAATTGAGTGATCATTTCATCCTCGTTCTGTAGATCCTTGGTTACATAAGTATTACGATTATAGTAGCACCCTTTTTCCCTTCTTTTTTTTCTGCAGGATGTTAGTGTGTATCTAGGAGCAGCTCCTATTGTTGAATGTCTTCAGAATTTCAGACCGAATGTAATTATTACTTCTCGAGTTGCTGATGCTTCCTTATTCTTAGCCCCAATGGTATGATAGCTGATTCTTTTTTCCTTTCAGATACCCCTGGCAATGACATTTATCTTTTCACTTGTACCAAATATAATCCTTTTACGGTATAATTTAGAGTCACTTCCCTTTATGAGAGTAACAGCTGATGAAAACTACTCACCTTTCCACATCTTAAGCAACTGAAAATTTGTTTAAGAAGTCAAATTCATGTACAACAAAGTTAGCTTTCCTTTTTCGTTTTCTTTTGACTCATCAAAATTTTATCTATTATTATGATGAAGCATAGAAAACGACACTTTTCAGTTGCACATGAAAAGTGTTACTAGTATGGGGCATTTTTCATCTTATATAAAATTAGCTCCAACCGGAGTTATAAGGTGGAAACTGCCTTCTTGTTACCACTTACTGGTGGAAATGATTCAAAGGTATGGTGGAAATGATTCAAAGCTATCTTGTAACATATTAGTGAAAGAAGCAGAAGCCTTGTGAGGTCTTTGAATTCACGTTCAATGGTTCATGTTTCTGAGTCTTTTGAGCTTCTCTACATGCCTCTTCCTGGTGCTGATCTTATACTGTAATAGACTGGATGGAATAAGTTGGTGGAACAGTTTTTTTTTTTTTTGCATGAAAGATAATCAGTGTTGAAAGACCAGGCAGAAAGGATGCCTTCTAGTGATATTTTAACGATCCAACTAAAGTTTGAGTACTGCAGCTAAATGTGGTGTGTGAGCAAAATTGCCAACTGGAGTAGATAACAATTAGGCAGAAGATTCTCCTCCTAGGGACTGCCTTGGATTATTTTGAATGTGAAGGCAATTGGATTCATTTCGTAGTTATACATTTATGTCACTATTTATGGGATAGTTCCTAGTTCTTCAATACTATCTTTGACAAAATTATGCTGATGTAATAATATTGAAATTAGTTAGAACTCTCTTTAGAAAAATATCTGAAGGTCCCTATTATGATCAGGTGTATGAGCTCGGTTGGAACTGGGATGACTTGCACCTGCTTGCCCAAGGTTCACTGGCTGGCCACCTGCTAGAATGTGGTTGCCAACTTACTGGAGGATACTATATGCATCCAGGTGAACCTTTCGTTCGTATTGCGATATTTCAGGAATGTGCACCTTTCTTTCGTAGGGAGTATGATGTGTGTATATTGTGGTGGAGTCTTGAGGTTGGAGGGGTTGCCTTCCACTTGCTCCAGTAAGCATGCACTTCGAGAACTTTATTTTTCTCTATGTATCTCAAACCCATTGAACCGTGTTCTTGAAAAAATTTAGTTCCTCTTTATTTAGTACTACTTATCTTTGGCTTCCCTTACTTATAGTTCTGAGCTTTTGACTCTGATGCTGTTTCTATGTCACTTCACCTGTAACTCATTGACTGTATTTTCTCACTGTAGGAGATAAATACCGTGATATATCTCTGCAAGATCTCCTAGATTTATCTCTTCCTTTTGCGGAAGTTAGCTTTGATGGGAAAGTATGTGTAGCAAAGGCGGAAAGCAGTGGTGGGGTTTTGAATCCCTGCACGTGTGCTGAGCAGCTTCTGTATGAAGTGGGGAATCCTAGTAGCTACATAACCCCAGACGTGGTAAATGTTTTGCAAGTTTTATCGGCTATCTCGATTGATTAGGGAAAATACATGAAAAGCTTAAATCAGAGAAGAGGTGTGTTAGGACCTTGTGTTTTCCTTGGGACAGGTTGTAGATTTTCAAGATGTTTCATTTCAGACATTATCAAGCAGTAAAGTTCTCTGTGCTGGGGCAAAACCATCTGCAGCAGCTCCTAATAATCTGTTGCTGCTGGCCTCCAAGGTGATCTCTTTGTTCATGTACAGAAAAAGTGGAGAGATTTCTTCCTTTCTGTTGTCATGTGGTCCCAAAAGCAACATTTGGTTAAATAAATTATGCTTTTTGTAAGCTCAACACCCCATTGCACTTGCCTTCTCCCACTCGTTAAAATTTTGATTTGACTCTGGGTTGTCAAAATCTTAAGATCCCAAAGATATAATTGTAACCAGTTTTTGTTATGCCATCTGCTGCTTTGACCTTAATCTCATGAACCAAGACAAGATAGAAGCTGTTGAATTCATGCATCATCAAACAATACCCTCACCAACACTTCCATTCACAATTAATTGGAGTTTTGGTACCCTCCTAATATAATGAGGGGTCGTTTGGTGTGAGGGATAATACCAAATAATCCCGGGATTAAATTATAGTACCGCTTATTTTGTTGTTTGGTTGGCAAGTTCGGGATAACTTATCCCGGGATTAATAATTAGTACCGGGATAAGTTATCCCTAACCTAGGGTGGTATAGTAATCCCGGGATAACTTATCCCGGGATAAATAGGTAAATGACAAAAATGTCTCTTTCAACCCTTTTGTTATATCACTTTTTACATTAATGAAGGGCATTTTTGTAAACAAATAAATTGTTCTTAAAATTTATTATTTTGAATACAACAAACCAAACACTCAATAAAAAATAATTTCAACACAACTTATCCTATCATAACTAATCCCAACATAACTTATCCCAACATAACTTCTCCCATCATAACTCATTTTCAAACCAAATGACCCCTGATATTATTACTCTGCTTACCATCTTATTAGGCCGTACAATCTTTTATTGGATGTATTTCCCTAACACAGTAGCACCACTATAATCTCATTTGGCTAGTTCACGAAAGATGAATTTTACTTTTAAGATCACTATCTGCTCTCATTATCATTTCCTTCCATTTCCCTTGAGCAAGCGTTGTTTGTGAATTGCAATGGTTTACTTTATTTAGCTGGATTGATGGATATTTCTGTTTGTTCTAACTTGGTGACTGCCTCATTTAGGACAAGGGGTGGAAGGGCTGGGGAGAGATATCCTATGGTGGATATCAGTGTGTTAAACGTGCTAAAGCTGCTGATTTTTTGGTAAACAAGTCTTTACTTCTCCTTCCTGGACTGCTATTATGGTTTTATCTTGGCTCCTGGAATGCTAGATTAAGAAGTGTTGTGTTTCAATTTTAATCTTCTAATTGTTTTTTTTCCAGGTAAGATCATGGATGGAAGAAGTATACCCTGGCATAAGCAAACATATAGTTTCCTATATCATTGGACTGGATAGCCTGAAAGCTGTTAGCATAGATGAAGATTTGCCAAGGGATAGTCAAGATATTAGATTACGAATGGATGGTTTATTTGAGAATAAGGAACAAGCAATCCACTTTACAAAAGAGTTCATAGCATTATATACAAATGGACCTGCTGGTGGTGGCGGTATCAGGTCTTATTCATACCATTTATTGTGACATATTTCAGAAAATTGTTGAAATGAAAACGGCTATGAGTAAATTTCCTGGTGCGACAGAGGTGAAGCCAGATTTTTTAGTTTATTGGTTCTGGATCACAATTCTGTTTGCCTACTGTGTTCTGAATTGATTATAAATTTGTACATATTAAATGCATTTTAATTCAATTACAGGGTTTGAGCCAAAGCTATTGGATTTAGCCGAATCCGTGGCCAGCACTGTGGCTCCGCCACTGCTGGTGCCTCAAATTTTTTTCTGTTATATTCATTTATCAATAGTTAAGTTGTTGAAGTATTTCTTAGTATTAGAAAGTTGGAAAATTAGGAAATTTTCTTTCTGTTAGATACCTATCATATAGATTGCTGTAACATAGTGATTTTTCTTTTGTGGAGAATCCATCTCATCAGGTAAAGGGACTTCATGGTATGATATGCTCTCATAGTAATGAGCAATTTGATCTGCACTGTTGTCTTCCATGTGGAAGTTGTAATATCCGTCGCATGTCTTTTACTAGAGCAGTTTCTTCACTCAAGCACCTAATTTTAATACTACAACTCGATGCAGCATCAATCTGAGTATATTGAATCATTACCTAATAATGTGTTTTTGAATTTTTTCCATGTGCAGAACTGTCTTTGTTTTTTGTGGTCACCAATGATCAAAGGCTTGTAATATCCTTCACTTCATGTTAATAATGAATGTGTCTCTGACTCTGATTATATCCCCCTCCCAGTTTTCCTCTTGCTAGACTTAATTCCCCTTCTCGATTATGTCAAAACATATTTCCATGACATGTACATTATCTTCTTTTTAATATGGATAGCTGTCTCAGTATTCCTGCCTCAATTCATTTAATACTTCCGTATGTTAAGAACATATTTCTATGACACGTATTAATGCTCTACATCTTCTTTTATTGTATGGCAGCACTGGACACAAAAAAGACATCATTCTTGAGAAAGCACTGGTATATCTCTCCATCTCTCTCATATATATGTGTGTGTGCATATGTGTGCTCGCGTATGTGTGTTCACGTGTGTGTGTGTGTGTGTGTGTTTATGCGTGACACAGATTGACATTCTCTCTCTTTATTGATACTCTGTGTTATGATATGTATACTTCGCTAGTTGTTAATTTATTAGATTTTTCTCCTATAGCTATTGACAGAAAAGAACAAAAGTTCTTTCCTATTGTGAGGTGGTTCCTACCTTGTGGTATTTGATCTTTCAATGGTTGCTTCATGCTATATTGCTAATACTGTATAAATAAGTTTTAAAGAGTTCTCTATTATCTTCAGGTAAAACGTAAAGATGTTCAGTGGCATATGACAGCAACAAGAAATAAAATTATGCAATCAGATGATCTGGCTAGCCCTAAAAACATAATACAGACCAGTTCATTCCATGAATCAGTCTTGCAATCACTTACAATGGAAACTACTTTGAATCACAAAGAAGGTTCACCGCAAATTGAGCTGATCTCCCCTGCTCCACATGACAGGAAGATTCCTCTTTATGATTTTGCACATAGCAGAGCTGGTGATAAAGGGGATGATATAAACTTTTCCCTTATCCCATATTTTCCTCCAGATATTGAAAGGCTTAAGAAGATTGTAACTCAAGAATGGGTGAAAAAAGTTGTCTCAAGTCTTCTTAATCCCTCTTCTTTTCCCACTTCTGATGATATTGAACAAAGAAACAAATGGATCAGTGAACATGTTGAAGTGGAGATTTATGAAGTCAGAGGGATCCATTCTTTGAATATAGTGGTTCGTAATATCCTAGATGGAGGTGTGAACTGCTCAAGGAGAATCGATAGGCATGGAAAGACTCTATCCGATCTCATATTGTGCCAGAAAGTGTTATTGCCTCTGTAATTGAACAGATGGCAAGACTGGAAAAGACACGCTGACTCCATTTTCTTTATCCTGGGAGGTGATAGTAGTGACAGTGGGGTGGGGGACAAGCTCCTGGCCTAGCTACAAGTTGGAGTATACCAGAACCTGAAGACTTACTTTTGAAATAAAATTTGTTGTAGTACCAGTACATGTTCATAAACAAGTTGTCTGAACTCTTTATTCTGAAATAAAATTACTGTTGCAGAGTTTTTTACTCTTTGTGAAAGCCATGAATGTCACAGGTACAGAATCAAAATTTGTTAGTGCACAACATGCATGGTAAGTAGAAAGGTTTGCAAAAGTAGTTTTATGGTGATCTGCAATCCAAAATAATTGTTGAAATTAGCGATCAACGCATCAAATAAATCACGTTTGCATTTATAGCTATGCTAATTAACTTGTGCACTTTTCTGAGTTCTTAAGCTATTTGTGGCAGTTTGAACTAATTTAACAGGTTAGTTATAAGCAGATGGGAGGTTTGCTTGTTCAGGTACACAAGACCAAGGTACAAATTTCTATTTAAGTTAGCAATATAGCATCCATCTTACTATTTCCACTCTTCTGTACATGCCTTTCAGTTGTACTCAAATTAAACACATAACTGTGAACGATATATGCTTAGTAAAGTAGGCGGAATTTCAACTATTGATAGCAGTTTTTTATGGTAGACAAAATGATATTAAGCTGAAATCATTGCTGTAGGAGCTTTGAATCCAACAGGAAGACAAGTAATGAAGTAAACAGTGACCTTATGCTTGAGCCTTCGAAAGATTAAAGCTCTTTCTCCTTTCCAATGGAAAACTGCTATAAATATTTTCTTCATGAAAGTCTTCTCTTCACTTCTTGGCATTACTGTTGCAGCTTCCTCTTCTTTGTTTTCTCCATCTTCCACTGAATCTCCCCAGTGAAGTGGATAGCTCCTCAGGAACACTCTTCTGTTATTGTAGTCTTCGTTACGAAAACTTCTTGATCTTGCACCATTTTCCTTTGATATTGTAGCATCCATGAGCCAAGATATTAGTGAATCTTCTGCAGGCTCTGCTTCTTATAATAACTAAGTGGATATTTAGAATGTGCTTATGTCTATGAAAAAGAGAGAAACGACAAGTTTTCACCTAGAAAAATGAGGCTAGGGGGAATAATTTAATCACTTTGTTTGGTATTTTTAGTTGTTTCTTGTCTTTTTAAGAGTTGTTATTTGTACTATAGCCTAAAAGCTATATCTTTTCATTATTTGGAAAAATAAATTAAACCTATTGTACACTCCACTATGGCCCATGTTAGAGGTTTTCTATGCTATTATTTCTAACTTTTTGTTCCTTTGAATACATGCCACAAAATAATGAGAACTTCTAAGGCATTTTATTTTTATCCATATAGTTATATGATATTAGACAGAGATTAGCTTTATTGAAGCGTCATGGTTTGTGAGAATTCATACATCTAACTTGCTTGAAACTGAGACGTTATCGTCGTTGTTTTCTTGTTGTTGTGTTCCTACATAAAGTACAAAGCTAATCTTTTGGTTATGAAACAATTAGTAGCCAGTAGGTATATGCTTCTAGTTTTTCACTTTTCCTACATAATCTATGAAGGTATATTTTACCCTGTAAATTGTTTACTTTATACGCATGCACACACAAAAACATGTGTACAAGTGTGGTGTTGGCTAATTTTCTAACTGTTCCTAGGAATTTGTCGAAACAAATCCCCCTTTTGACCAAGTTTCATTTTCCTTTTGACTCATTTTCAACATTTTTATGTATTTTTGGAACAAGGGGCATACTGTTTCTTTTGTTTTTTTCCCTTGATTGTGGTGTTTGAGTCAGCTTTCGCGCATATTGACTAACTCTATGGGGTACCTGTCACTTTCCACCAGCAACAAGTATCGAGTAACTCAATCCACCAAGACTAAGACAAATAGAAAGAATCACCTAGTATTTTTGTCTCCTATGAATTTGACGAGGGACATAATTTTCAATCATAGAAATAGAGTTGAAAACCCATTTTTTGAAAGAAAAAAAATCTGGTTTGTAATCAATTTCGTTTAGAGTGAGAAAGCCAAAACAAAATCAGGAAAAAGACATTTTAAATATCTGATTGTCCAACATAAACAGCTACTCTGCTTACTCATCCGTTCAAAAAAGGATGACATATTTAAATATTTAAAAAATAAAGTTTTTTTTTAACTCGAGTTGTTCAAACATTTTAACTCTAAACGAATAGTGATTTAGCTTTATATAAATATTTTTCAAAGAAGTTTGAATTCAGACCGCTAGATGATTTTCTACCTTTTTAGACAGACCAAGTACAAAAAGTTAAAACAACAACAAAATGTGTCAAATAAATTCTCAGAAATGAAGCAGTTTGCCATTAACGGCAGTGGTTAATTCTTGTCAATGATGTTAAGGCACGTTGAAAACAACTTAGCATTTTATTAAGGCAAGACATATATACCTGTCAGTTAACTGAACAATGATATAATCCCCACTAATTAATTATTAATTACAATGATTAATATGTTGTGTCCCTTATCTGTAATTTTAATAATTGAGAATGTTATATAATTGGTTGTTACACCAATTATTTCTACTTTTTTTCTTGTTGGTCTGCACAAGTAATGGTAGTTGTACCAATGTATTTATCACTCCATGAATTCAAAGCATTGCTGAGGTTACAAATTTCTTTGGGATTTAATACTATTATAATTGCCACGATTGCTTCGCAATAAAACTTAATCTGTTCTATCAAGTGATCTTTTATCAAAAAAAATTGTCGATGTAAAGTTAATTTTCTCAACCTTACATAATGTTTGATGAATATCTATACAGTTCCATTATTTTTATAAGGAAAATATTTTATGGATCAAGTGTTATGATGACGCAAAAAATATTTACTAAATCAAATTACCTAAGTTATAATACAAGTATAAAAGTTTCATTTAAAGAAAATTTCAATGTTATCTTGTTCTTTTGAATATCCACACATTGTCGTCCCACAAATGAGGTTAGAGGAGGTCGACTGTACCTTACCTCTACCTTTGTGAGGGGCTGAGGGCCAATAGAAAGACTGTTTTCGTACCTCGACATAAGAAAAATATTTTAAAAAAAGTAAAGAGTAAGAATTTAAATTAGTGATGGGAAAGAGTCAAATTAGAGCCTAATTTCACTCAAATCCAAGATAATTGCATCCATCCTATTTGAGAGGCAAAGAAATAAAAAAATAAAATAAAATTCCTATTATTTGGATCTCCCAATCACGTGTCATTGAATTATGGGGTTATAGTAATTATTTTGCACATGAAAAGTAACTCAAAATTTGTGTATTACAAACTGAGATAGAGAGGGTGCCTTTTTTTGTTTCTTTAATCTCAATAACAAAACAGGTTAGAATATTAAAAAAAAGGCAGAACAACTTTTTGTTGTACAAATTTCTTTTTTTATTCTGCCATATTTCTAACTCTGAATAGTTATTGAGATTGAAGATTTTCAGGCTTCTGTGAATATAATTATTTATTTATTTAATACAAAATAAAAAGATTTAAAAAAATATATACAATAATGGCATTCACAGGAACATTGGATAAATGCTCAGCTTGTGATAAAACTGTTTATTTTGTTGATTTGTTGTCTGCTGATGGTGTTACTTATCATAAATCATGCTTCAAATGTAGCCATTGCAGAGGCACTCTTGTGGTATGTATCCCTATTTTCTTTACATATTTACTATTCAATTCCACACGCGTCCTGATTTTCATTAAGAAAAATCAAAATAATTCAAAGGATGGTCAGTTGAATCGGACCCTAGCTATCTAACTCCACCCTTGTTCCTATCCTTACGAGCTATATAGATCGAAGGATGGTTAAGTAAATACCTTTAGTCTGAATATTATATTTCGTATAAAGAAAATTATATTGCATATATAGATTAAAAATTACAAATTTTCATATATACATATTAAATTTTAACACATTTGACAAAATTTCTAGTTTCACTAGGTCTCACCCCACTTCCCCGAAACAACAATCCATCAACTATACCACAATCCCGAATTTTATTTATTATCAATTGTGTATATTATTTATTACTCCCTCCATTTCATATTAATTGAATTTTTGAGGCATTTTCCATTTTTTAAATTAACTTAATTGTTCAGTTTTCAAGACTACTTTTAGAGTGTTCTTCCAATTTTACCCTTCATTTGTATTTTCAATGTGATGACTTCAATAAATTTGACAATAATTAATAAGGGTAAAAATGAAAAACTATGTTCAATTTATGTCTTAATCTACTTTTCTTAAAGGGTATGAAACACCTAAAAAAATTAATTAATATGGAATGGAGGGAGTAACATTTTGAGAAGATATTATAATTAGACCATTTTTATTCTTATTTTATGTGGGATTTCTTTAAGATATGTATATTGAAGGCACGTAATCTTAAAGTGCAAGTTATGTTACTTTTCGGCTTTAAAAGAGATTAAGTTATTAAAGTAATCAAATTGTCATCCATCATTAAATCCCCATTATTTCTGTGTTTCTATCAAAATTTTAGAGACACATCTTAACTAAATTAAGGTCTTATTATCTTCTCGAACTTATTTTATTAATTTTGTATACCTTTGGCTTACATGGCACATTCCGTGACCTCACGTGGTTGAGGTGCGTGGAAGATATTTGAATGCCACATAAGCCAAAAAGGTGTCCAAAATTTATAATAAAAAAAAATTGGTTCAGGGGTAATAGGATCTTTTTTTAGTTAAGGTGTGTTTCTAAAATTTCGATCATAGTCTAAGGATATTTGTATCTTATCCCATATATATTTGATAATTTTGATTATTTTTTTTGGCAGATGAGCAATTACTCTTCTATGGATGGAATCCTGTACTGCAAGACTCATTTCGAACAACTATTTAAGGAATCGGGAAATTTTAGCAAGAATTTTCAGAATCGTAAGACATTAATTTTTTAAAATTAATTTTTGCTAAGCTTCTTTTATCTTAATTTTTACTAATAATCTTAATTATTAACGTTTCAGCAGCTAAGTCTGAGAGGCAAAATTCATTGGTATGTTCACAACTACACATTTAAAAAAATATATGTTTTTCTTAAAAAAAATAATTTGTTTCTCGAATATTTTTAGCTAACAATTAATTATATATTTTGTGCAGACAAGAGCTCCAAGCAAACTTTCAGCTATGTTCTCTGGAACCCAAGATAAATGTGCTGCTTGTGACAAAACTGTTTACCCACTTGAAAAGGTACAAATATTAAGCCATTAATTAATTGTTTTTAAAAAAATAAAAACAAAAAGGTTCATTCATGATCAATTAATCTCAATTCATTCACAATTTGAAAATCTCCGGATCTATGCTAATTTTCAACTCCTCAAAGTATTTCATCGACCTAGCTTCAACCTATTATAACTTTCTTCCTTTATTTGAACTAATCGAACCGACTAAATATGTTTTGCTTACACATAGGCAGATTTTATGGTTTTAATGAATGAATTTAAATTACACATACTCGATGGTATAGAATTTTTTTGCTATATATATATATATATATTTTGTGGAATTGGTCATTAATTCTTACCTTAATATAAATTGTCTATACTACATATTTTTATAACGTGACCTTTCCCATGCCCTGAAATGTAAATTAAGTAAATATAGAATACTTTGTGAATTGACTTGTCCTTTCTATGACATGTTATTGCTATGTTTCCTAATTAGTTAATTACTATATCCCATTTTCTATGAAATGTTACGTATTATTATAAGTCAATTCATAACTTTATGCTCTCGTATATATTATCAGTGCACAAAACGTAAACTCTGACTATTTCAAAATTGAATTATAGGTGACAATGGAAGGAGAATCATTCCACAAATCATGTTTCAAGTGTGCACATGGAGGTTGTGCACTTACCCATGCAACATATGCATCCCTTGATGGAAACTTGTATTGCAAGCATCATTTTGCTCAACTCTTCATGGAAAAAGGAAATTACCAACATGTCCTCAAAGCTGCAAATAACAAAAAGAATAGTGCTGCTATAACACCATTAAATGATGATGAAAATAATGCTGTTGAAAATACATCAACAGAAGAGAATAATAATAATAATAATAATAAAGAGCCTGAAAATGCAGAGGAATCACAAGAATCATAATATAAAAAAAGTACCCTCTCTCCCCTAAGTATTATAAATTACATTTAATTAAATTTTATCCTTTAATTAATTGGATCAATTGATCCTTCTATCTATTTTGATAGCTAAAATGTTTGTGTTTATCATATATTAAATTTTTCCCATTTGTTTATATATATATTTATCCAAGGCAACCCCTCATATGTAATTAATTAAATTTTATTGTCTGGATATAATATTCCTTTGTTAATATATATACATATACATACATTTTGTGCAATGTTGTGTCAAGGTGTATATTTTCACATTAACTATATTGGATTTTAATTTTTTTTATGGAGCTATACTTAGCGTACAAATTATAATTATAGTGTAGATTATATATATATATATATATTTCTATATATATATATAACCTCAACATACTAATT